GTAATTTTTGTTATATAGTTTGTTAAATTTAGAAAAAACTTTGACTCTTCGAGATATATATAATTATTTTACGAGCGAAGGAGTAGTAGTATATAGGAATTTCTTACACTTGGGTGAATCTATTGAGCAAATTAATGTACACACAGTTTCTCCAAATAAAACTCTTGCACAACATCATGCATTGCACAAGAGTCGCCTACTCGTGGAACAAATTTGGACCATACGCGCTGGAGACCAATGCAAATGAGATGGCCGGCCGGTGGATCGAAATGAATTCCATGCATGGACGAAGATGTATCGGAGAGCCCAAACTTGACACGCGATTTAGGTATTTCAGACCACCTGTCTTTTTCTTTCTTTCCACAAATTAAAGGACACAAAATCTCGTTAAGATTGTTTTGACCGTGCATGCGTGGTTTTGGACTGGTACAGCAAATCTACCATCGCATCACGCCATCACCGTGTTTAAAAAATGATAAAGAGCTGTTCCTGAAGAGCAGATCTGGCCTGTTCGGCTGATCCACTTTCAACTGATTTCGGCTGATTTCGGATAATTCAATAGTGTTCTGTGAGAGAGAATAAGCTGAAGCAAGCTGATTTCGGCGGATTTCGAATGATTCATTTTGGATGATTCAATAGCAGGGGAGAAATTGATACTCCTACTACGTAGTAGGGGAGAAATGAAAACGACGTACGGGGCTCGCTTTCCTACCAGAACCAAAAACAAAAGTGTAAAAAAGAGAGGAAAATGAACCCATTTTTTAAGTCCAAAAGCTCGTCAATTAGGCAGCATTGTGTTGTTTCCTCTTTCCTGTCTGTGGGTGATGATCCTTGTGGAGCTCGCGAGATGCATGTCGCATCTCCAAATATTTTTCACATTTAGATTCTCCCTAGCTTGGACGGAGTAATGCATGTGTGGCCGAGAAAATTAAGTTACAATCTTTTTTTATACTATCAAAAAGAGGCTAAGGCCCGTTTGGATCCTTGAATTGAATTCATTCTAATAAATATAATATAGATATAGATTAATTAAGTTAATATAATTATATATGAAATATATTCGTATATTATTGTTAGTCATGCAAGGGAGATACTTATATGATGTATTTCTACTATAGGAAAGCGCGTTAAAGAGCGTGCTATAAGTTGGAAAGTAGAAATATAGCATGATAATATTATTGCTAGCACGGCCATGTTTGCTGGTTATTTGGGTTCTGATCCTTCACATGAGCCTTTAGATCCTAATAAACGTAAGTATACTCTTGTGCATCAACGCTGTGCCTGTCATATAATTAATCTAATTGTTAAATCTGGACTAAAGAGATTGAAACCTTACCTAGAAGATTTTAGAACTGCAATTAATTTCTTCAATTCCTCTAATCACAGAATTGCTATGTTTAAGAACTATTGTAATGCTAAGGGTGTTAGACTAGAAAGTTTGGCTTGAATATGGATGTTAGATGGAATGCTACTTATCTTATGCTGAAACACTTAGTTTCATATAGTGAAGTTTTTTCTGTGTTTATTAATTCAAATTATGGATCTGTACTGTTGTCTCTAAATCACTGGTATGTTGTTGAGAAGATATTGGACTTCCTAGAACTCCCTTATGACTGCACTGTTGTGTTTATCTGGTGTTTATTATCCCACCAGTCCACTTGTTCTGCATCATGTTTTGGAGATTGCATCTCATTTGCGTGCTGCTGAAAAAGATCAGAATCTTAGACAAATTGTGTATTCTACGAAGCTTAAATTTCTTAAATACTAGCAGGACATACCTCAATTATACTCATGCATTCATTCTTAATCCTAGAGCTAAGATGAGAGGTTTTCATAGGGTTCTCCAATTACTTGCTGAAAGCACTAGTATTCAGTACAATTCATACTATGCTGATGTGAAAAATAAATTATATAAATTGTTTAACAAATATGAGAGTAAGTTTGGTGCAGCTAGGTCTCAAAGTGTTACCTAAAACTATTGAGATGCTGACCTGCTCAAAGGACTAGGAGTTAGAAGAAAAGAATGAATAACATGCAGCTACCGACAACAAAGAGTTTGAAGAAGTATTCAAGAATTTGTATCTTGATGAAGATGAAGGTGGTGCTGCTGGTGGTGGTGGCTAAGAGTGAGACTGAGGTTGAGAGTGGACTTGCTTTTGTGTGAGTTGAGAGTGGACTTGTCCCTTACTTGTGTATCATTTGTATTTGAATAATGGTCTGTAATAACTTAATATAATTTATGAGTTGGTTGCACTCTTTTTTTCTTTCTAGGGTTTTCACAAGGGTGAGTTTTACCTATAAATGTTTTTAATGAGGCAGCATTGCATAAAACAGCTCATTTTGGTGTTGTGATGTGTGATCTGTTCTTCTGTTATCTAAGTCATTCTGTGATGTGTTATCTAAGTCATTCTGTGATGAAAATGTGAGTTGATACTTGATAAGTTATTTTGTGAATGTTGATTGAAATTTGATTTTATGGCTGTGAGTTGAGTTTTCTGAGATGTTTTATGTTAATCGGGTTATGGGCTAGCACGGCCCGTCAATTTTGACGTGCGTAACGAGCCAACATGTCACGAAAAAAGATCCATAATATCGTGCTTGGACAAAATTTAGACCCACGTGTAGAAACAACCCGCAGGGCACAGCGTGCCTGGTGGGCCCGACCCTCAGGCCGTGCCCAGTCCGTTGCCCATCTATACTCGATGATAAGTGGCCGTCGAGATCCCTACGCATGAACAGCTCTTGAGCAAAGCAAAAAGTGTACTGATGTGACGCCTCCACTCACAAGTCACAAAGCCATCATATTAGCTTTATTAATCCTGCTGCAGCATGAAGCATGTGCGTGTGTGTCTCCACTGTGCGGACGACCAGACGATCATCCACGCGCCGGCCGGCCCCGCGTATGGAGATCTTCACACGTTGTCCTTGCATGCGCGGCCGGCGAAAACGGCGCCAAGTGTGATCATACATTAAAAAAAAAAAGAAAAAAAGGCAAAACAATCAAACAAATTAAGAGATCGGTACGGCGTTGCTGCCGCCTGAAATCGTTGCTTTGCTTGCTTGCAAAAGGCGGCGGCGGCGGCAGCTACTCCGCCCGAGGGCCGGACCATGCTAATGTTCATGTTCGCGAGTGACGGCTTGTTTAGTTCGCCCGATTCGGCGACGTCGAATTTCCTGTAGTATATTGTAGCGTTTGTTTGTATTTGGTAATAATTGTTTAAACATTGACTAATTAGACTCAAAACGTTCGTCTCGCAAAGTACAATCAAACTGTGCAATTAGTTTTTGATTTCGTCAACATTTAATACTTTATACATGTACCGTAAATTTGATATGATAGATAATCTTCTTTTTGTATAGTGTCAAATTCAGGAGTTTGATAACTAAACACCCGCTGAGTAACAAGAGACGACAGGGGTGTGTCGCTGCCTCCGACCACCAGCTGACTGAAATAGACCTGCTTGTGTAAAACAAAACAACGTGTGCAGTAATTATATTAAACTCCTAAATGGGGCCTTTATTAGATTATGTTCACAAGTATAATTTCACCTCCATCTTAATTACCCTTTTGGTGTGTTTGACATGTGCTTTATCATTGAAACTTTAGCTCGGATCGGAGCTATATTTGTCACACTTTTGTCGTGGACTTCCAATCCAATTTTTTACCTCCTAATTTTTGGTAATTAATATACATACATACTTGTATAATTACATGCCAAAAGGTACTAAGAGCAAATACTACCTCTCCTCCAACAGTTCCCTTAAACAAAAAAAAGGTTAAATTTTCATCTCCAGCAATTTCTAGTGGGGCCCACTAGCTTATATATATAAAAGGAGAAATATTCCGAACTTTGTGCAGATTCTGTGTAGGCCCTTTGGCTTCGGAAGCCTACGATGTGTAATTTACCAGATGTGAGGCCCATATCCAGCAGTCCAGCACAGAGGTTAGCCGTAGCAGTCCAGTCCGACAGTTCCTGGAGGATCCTACGGAAGCGCATGGATTCTATTTGAAAAAAAAAAGTCCACGTTAACTCTTTAACTTTCGCGAAAGTCCGTTTTTCCTCTCTAAACTCTAAAATCAGGCAAAACACCCCCCTCTACTTTTAAAACTGTTCATCTTACCTCCCTGGCCCTGTCATAAGCAGTTTTAAAGACGGTTTTGTCTTTTTCTTTTTTATTTATTTGGGCTGAATCTTTGAAAAGTTATAGTAAATCACAGAAAAATTATAAATGAAAAATCCAATTTTGTTGGACTCCATATGAGTAGATCTATACAGTGAACATATAATATGGTATGCTTTAGTACAAAGTTTTTATTGTGGCTTTAAATCTATACTTTTCTGTAATTAATTGGAATAATTTATAACTGCAATTTCTATGGTCCAATTGTGATGAATTTTTTATGATGGGCTAATTATTGTATGATTGAACTGTAGTAAAGATTTCATACTCATTAGATCATGTATAGCTCAATTGGTAGTCTTCATCCTCGTGAAACATTGCTCGCTTGTTCTTCGTTACTTCCTTCCTTCCATGATACAAAGCCAAGGATATATTCACCTTCAGTTTGCGTGCAGGTGACCTGTTGTCTCACTTTTATATATACTTCGACGGTCAATATCGTTCATAATGAGACATTGAAACCACAAGTATGGAATTGTTTTGAGAAGTACCTTCGTAATATGGAAACTTGGCTGTGTTGTATAGTAGTAGCGTTTGAAAAGAAGAAAATATAGGTTAAATTTACATTCAAAGACTGTTAGTACATTATTCAGAGAAATGTTATCACAGGGAGAAAATATTGCTAATAGCCACAACTGTGTGCACCGGGAGACTATTTGTGTGCCATACAAGCAGACTGGTCCAAAGGTAGCTAGTAGTACCCATATATTAGTTTTAGTCCTTGGCAATTCAAAATCGATTTTGGGGGCTGACACCATGGCAATGACACTAATTTGCAAGAATTCTGTGCGCACCAGCCAGAGTCCAATGAGCCAAGCTTACCAAAGTTTTGATTTACGACAGAAAGTTTCCCCTTCATTCAGAAATACTGAACCTGGTAACAGTTCTGCTGAAGAATTCATGGTGGATAACATTGGCAAGGGAATATCTTCATCTGTTGAACATTTCATTTCAGGTTATCAACATCTAAGGAATACAATGCTATGAATCATGCTACCAAGCAGACATAGAATTATCACCGGTAGGAAAAAATAGGTTATTCTGAATGCAGCATGTGATTCAGTCCAACGATAGGAAAAATTCCTGGCAGACTTTCTTTTTTAGCATACTTCATGTCCAGTCCAAATTGGGGTCTTCCAATTTGATTGTGATCAGGCGCAAAAACAGGTGGAAAGTGAGACCTTGACCACAAGTAGAACTGAAGAACAATGTTCTTTTCTAGTTTTGCACATGCGGGATATTGAACCAATGAAAGATCCAGCATTTTCCACTGCCATTGATTTCCGTCAGATAACTGCTTTTCTCTTATTTCACAAGCAATAATAGTACTATACCAATTTTTCTTGGTCAACAGATTTGTATTCCTCAGTGTTGTTCATTTCAATGGAAGGGGTCAACAGCTGCATTTACAAGAAAGCATAGCAAGACACCAGAATTATCCTTTACCTTTAGGAGCATACCAATCCCTCTTTGTCTGATCATAAGCAAGTGAGGAACAGCTACCATTGCGGTAATCCCATGAGAGCACCTTCTTCATCAGACCTCGCAGCCTTTCAGCACCAGGACCAGGCTCAAAAACAGAGTCTTCACCCCTAGACAGACATGGATCAGCCCCTAATTCAGAGCTCCCATCACACCATGCTCCCGGGGTGAACCGGCCCTCTGAGCGGTGCAAAAGCTCACGATCTATCTTGTCCAGGACCTTGTCATCCTTGGGAAACTTTCGTGCAAAGGGCGCACCGCTCTTGGCCATCTTGTTGAAGTCCTTCATGGAGAGGATCAATGGATGCTGCTTTGGAGGGTAGTCCCAAGCGATGTAGTGAAGGTCATGGCCAACTGCCGTGCCCCGAAAATCATCAGAGTTGCAGATCACAGTTTGGAAATAGCCTTCTGGTGAGGAGATGAAGTTGACATAGTACATCAGGAGGTTTCGTGGGAGATTATCCCAACCCCAGATACAGTACTCAAGGAAGGATTTTGTGAGCATTATCCAAGCAGAACCTGCCAATCAAACATAGGAAGGCCATGATTATAGAACAGATTAAGAGTGACGAAATGTAGTGATATTTTATACTACTACCAAGATGCATATATTTAGATCATTACACCTTACAGAAATAACCTTTTTTTCTATACCACTATTAATTCATTTCAGCATGTGCTTAAACAAAGAAAACGTGAATCTTATGCATGGTCAATCAGAAGAATTGATCATTTTTTTTAAAAAAAGAACAAGAAACCAGCAACGTATCCAAACACTATAGGCTCGGTCCAAATATCTTGACCACAAATCTTCAGGCTGACAATTCAATGCAGCAGCAACTATTCTTTTGGGCTCTCTTTATTTCTGGTTAGAAAATGGCAAACCTCTATGAGCATATTGGAACAAGAGTTTATAACTATTGTAGACTTAGGAGGACATGAGGACACTGTGGAGCATAAGAAGCATAACCGATTAACTGATCATAGAACTGCCTTAAGAACTGAAAGAGTTCACAATGAAGGAAAAAAACTGAATAGGAACTAAAAATCTGAATTCACAATTATTAGTTCAAGATGAATTAAGAAATTGCAGCTCTACCATGGTCAGGCAGCAATACTCTGCTAGCTATAAGAGATGACTAGGATCTGCTACCATAAATTAATGTGCCCAAACTTTCTTTTTGTGGTTGACTGGTTGTAAACAAGTAAAAGGTTAAGCTATTATATAAATGTGACATCCGGCCCAGTTTGGAATTTGGGCCATAGTGGCCCATATGCAAGTTAATGAGATATTGTGGAGAGTTTAGTCCCACCTTGGTTGTTAAAGGTGGGATAGACCAACGATATAAGGCTTCTAGAGTCCATCCCACCATCCCCGAGTTAATCCTTTTACGCGAAGCAAGGTCGAAAGCGTAAGTGGGATGGTGGTAGGTGTGGTTCGCTCAGCGTGCATAGTGTATCTGAGCCATTTGGACTCTGGGGCGTTACAAATGGTATCAGAGCCGACCTTCGCAGCCACGGACGCGTGCGGACCAGGGGCGCGGACATGGGGTTCATTGCGTGTGTAGGCCCTGCGGGGTGCACGGCATGGCACATGTGCCGGCACTGGGCGCACGGTTGCGTGTGCTAAGAGGGAACGTTCCTGGTCATCGTTTGCCCGGTTGTGGGTATGTTGGGCCGACGAGGACGTCGGTTCCTTTGAGGGGGGAGGGGGGGTGTATGTGACATCCGCCCCAGTTTGGAATTTGGCCCATAGTGACCCATATGCAAGTTAATGAGATATTGTGGAGAGTTTAGTCCCACCTTGGTTGTTAAAGGTGTGATAGACCAACATATAATTCTTCTAGAATCCATCCCACCATCCCCGGGTTAATCCTTTTACGCGAAGCGAGGACGAAAGCGTAAGTGGGATGGTGGTAGGTGTGGTTCGCTCAGCGTGCAGAGTGGACCTGAGCCGTTTGGACTCTGGGGCGTTACAATAAAGTAGCATGCAAAATTGTTAGTGACTACATGCCAACTGCCACATCAATGTATTGCCATTTTATGGATATAATAGCTTCAAAAGCCTATGTGCTGAATATTGAATTGAGAATCAGGCCTACCAGTATATAATTTGAAAGATGTTGGCAATTCTCTCCGCTCAGTAGTCATAGTAAGGCCAAATTTCTTTGATAGATAGAGCCCTGGGTCCAGAACAATTGGTTTCGCCCTTATATTTCTGTGATTGGGGAAAAAAGCGTCAGAAATTAAGTGCACAAAAACACAGCATTTTGTACAAAGTGAACAAATTAACAGATTAGTAAGGAAACTTACACTTTCCACCCAGATAACTGAAAGTGCTCTATAAAATTAAGATTTCTTGGCAAAGAAGAGAAGACATGAAGTATATCTGGAAAAAAAAACAAGCATTTAACCATACAAGTACAGTAACTTCCATAGCTATGTAATAACATGTTGCATTGTTGCTGCTCTGTGTATGAAGATTTAAGCTACACTATAGGGGTATATCCTCGAATGAATGATGACTGCTAATGCTATTACTGCCTTTCCTTTCCATATGAAAAGATGTGTTAAGATCATACAAAATTAATATGTGTGCCTATACAATTTGAGGCCCATGTTACTTGACTCATGTTATGACAATTAACATGTAATATTGAAACTAGACATTTTTCACATCAATCTCGAACTCTGCAAAAGTCTTCATTCTTAGCTGAACTATGTGGGCCTCTAGTCCAATTGGTCAGAGTGCCCTGGCGACACTCCTTAGGTCCTGGGTTCGACTCCTCGTGGGAACAAATTTCAGGCTGAGGTTAAAAAAATCCCCTCGTCTGTCCCATATCCAAAGCACTGGGGAGGCACCGGCCCAATTCTCACTTGGGCGACGGAAAGCCACTGTGTAAGGGTGGGGTAGGGGTTCGGGGGTTTTCTCGGCCTGGTGAGAAGGTCTTCTTCTTATTTGGAATGTTGTGGGGGCATTCTTAACCCCTTCAGGTCGAGTTTTTTATGTGTTTCCAAATATGACAACTTACAAAACAAGAAGTAGACGGATTAGGTTGACAACAGTGAAGCAATGTGTTCTGTTTGTTGCTACCTAAAAACAGGTATTCATATATATGCTTACATAATGCAAAATAAATCTAATGCAAACTAGTGCAGAGAAAGGGGATGCAATCTATGAACTATGGTGCCTATGTTACACTTGAACTCCTCTAAAACATGATAATGCTGCCATAAGTAATGTTATCAATCAGACTGCAGAAACAAAGTTGCAGAAGGTAAGCCATGTATAAGTTAAGCCCACAAAAATGATTGTCGTCCCCTGAAGAGTTAAGGGGGGGGGAAAGAGTGGCTGAAGAACACTGACCATCTTGTGTCATGAGCGGATAATCCGACGCGCTGAGATTGATGAACCAGTCCCACTGCAGCCCCTCCTTGAGGAGAATGGCGACGGCGTGGAGCGTGCAGGCGACCATGGTCGGCCCCTTGTAGGTGACAAGATTGCCCTTGGCGATGACCCGCACATTCCCGACCTGGCTGAACATGGGATCGCCCTTGACGTACATAGCCAGATCGATCCGCTCCCGCGGCGGCGCCTCCAGGTCGAGGTGCAGGATGTACTGGTTGCGCGGGTGGTAGATGGCCTGCAGCGTCCGCCGCATCCGCAGGCCGTCCCCCTTGGTGCCCTCGAGGAGGTACGCGATCCGCGGAGGCTCGGCGTCGGAGTCGTCAGAGTTGACGGCGGCGTCGTCGGGGTTCTCGTCGTCGTCATCGCTGGCGGCGTTATCTTCCAGCAGCCGGTTCTTGATTCCCGTCTCAACGGAGGGCGCTCCACCGCCCGACGACGAGCCGCCGCCGTCGTCCCAGTTGGTGAGGGAGACGACGTCGAACAGGACCGCGTTCCCGGCGCCGCCCAGGTAGGGCGGCGAGAAGAGGCCGCACGCGGCGGCGAGTAGGAGCGTGGACGTGACGAGCAGGCTGGCGAGGAAGGGGAGCAGCCACCGGCGGTCACCGAACGGCCGCGCGTGGCCGGAGCTGAGCCCCCAATTCTTCCTCATTTGCTTGTTCGGCAAGCGCACGTCTTCCTTTCCTTCTTTAGCTCAACCGAATCTCAAAATGTTCAATCTTACGGAGCATACCGGCGTTGCTCCGGTGAAATCGAACCTCCAGCGCACCCGAATTGGTCACGGTGATGAGCCGGATCTGCACTGGCTCAGATGCGCTGAGAAGGAGCAATATCCTGAATCGAAGTCTCGAAATTTCAAGAGGGATTGCGCTCACCAGGGAGGGAGGACAGCGAAGGAGGCCTCCTAAACAATCCGAGCTCTCGCTCGCGACGAGCCAGTGAACTGGCGAGGCGCGCAGGCAGCCGCTGTTCAACGGGCAGCGAGCAGGGACCCCGTCGCCGTCGCGCACGTGCGACGAGGGCAAGACCCGGCTCCGGCGCCGACCAACGAGGCGAGCTCGCGAGGTCGCCGCGCACGGCCCCTTCAGCACAGCACCACGGCTCCGCTCCTCCCCGGTGAACCACTTGGCGCGCGGCGGCGCTGGACTCTTCTCGGGAGGCGGTGGCAGCTGAGCTGAAGCCCTCACACTGTGTGAGCTGCAGCCAAGCTTCGGGACCGAATGTCCTATGGGCCCAACTGAAAATGTCGAGTTAGTATGGTTGGGTTCGACCAAAAGTCATATGGGCCGGCCCACAGAACCACAACGGCCTTTTTGAGCGATCATCGTTTCTCTTCGAGTTTTTTTTACAAGACCTACTGTAGACGTAGGGTGTGTTTGGGAGGGTTCGTCTCATGCTCCTCGAGGAGCCAGAGCCGTTTTAGCTCCAACGAAACGGTTCTGATTTCTCATTTTTTATTTAAAAAAATGTTTATTTTATTAAACGGTTTGGTGGGGCTTCTCCGGAAGAACCGGAGCCGAAAAGGAGCCCTACCAAACGGGACTGTAGACTTTTATATACATGAACATACACTCAACTGTGTGTTGTGTGAACACACGCATACTCTGACTATACGATGGTTTTTGTAGTTGGTGCATATTTGGCATTGATGAAAACGGGAAATTCTGAGATGGCACTCCACCCCCATTCCCTCTTCTACTATGAGAAAAATGGCTGTTTCGCCAAAGCTTTGCAAGAAAGATTTGGTCCTTGTGACCACGTCTCCATCTCCGTGTAGGAAATAATCTCTATGGGGAAAAAAATCTAGAATGGCTCCCCGTTCTTATCCCTGTCCTGTAAGAAGAAAAAAATCCCAGTTTGCGCCCAAAATTTGCGAGAAATATTTGGTCCATATGCCAATCTTTGTGTAGGGAGTAATCTCCATAGGGGATCTATGTCTCGAATTAACACATCACGGGCATATAGATAAAAAACTTAAATTTATCTTAGACCCTCTTCGGTGGAACTTTTGTCGTGACTTTTTTTTTATCAGCTTAATCAAAAGCTGTACCAAAGAAGCACATATGAGAAACAGCTTCTGAAGGCAAAACCAAAACAAAAATGGCAAAATAGAAGTCAAAACAAAAATGGTAAAATAGAAGTCATTTTTTGCTCAAAAGCTGAAGCCACCAAAGCGTGTTTTTTCCTAGCTTCATCTTTTTTTAGAAAACCCAATCACTACCAAAGAGACCCTTAGAAACAAGCAAAAAAATTTAGTACAAGTGTATAATATAACTAATGAATTGTAGTGTCTAGTTATACAATAGTTGTGTCTATTTATCTACAAACAGTTTTTAATTGCATCATACTACTTTTCACTCAATGTCTCACATTCTCTTTCTTGTTTCTTCTTACGTCAACTTGTTATCCGGATGTATCGGTGTATATATATAGACTTATGTGCCTAGCTTGTTGCTTGTATAGGAGTCAAGTTCTTCTATCTATTTTTCCTTCTCTCATTTGTATGAGCAAAATATTGTGGCCCTATTCTGCTGCACTACTTCATCAGTACTTTTCAACGAACCAACATTGTTTTACTCTCACAGCATTTCAGCATAAACATCATCATAAGCTAAATTTCAGTGAAACGAATAGGGTCATTGATGAATTTAGCTATAAACTATTGCAATACATTGTCTAAGAAGTTGCCTATAGGGACATATCTATAGGAGTAATTTTTTTGAGAGAAATCTATAGGAGTAAATAAATTGGACATCGGTAGTCTCACCAATTATTGGACACTCACGATTTCATTGTGCACTAGAACAATGTGCGGTGTTGCTGCGCTTGAAATGTGCCCACACATTGTTTGAAGGTTTCGTAGCTAGACCATATTTTAATTTAATGAAACAAAAATTGTAGGTTAACTAAAAGCTCAGTAGCAGTTGGGCTTTTATTTCCGGCTGTTTCCTGTTTTTTCTGATTTTCTTCCTTTCTTTATTTTTTTATAAACTAGATATATATGCCCGTGCTTTGCATCGGGTCATGATTATTCGAAGTGAACCTTAGTAATCGGACGCAAACGTGTAAGCTCTGAGGACTTTATATCGGACACAGATACGTGGACCCGTTTTTTGCATCGGAATTGGGTAGGACGCGGACATATTGAGCTCCAAGTGGAGGATTTCGTATCGGACGAGGACACGTGAACATGGATCGATATTTGGTATCACCGGATAGATGATGATGTTATAGTCTTTTTAGGTGTAGAGAAGTTCGCGTCTAGGTTTGCTGAGAAAGGATGAGTGGCAGTAATAGCATGTTATATTCATCTACATACTTCTCTATATTTTTCTAGAGTCCACTTAACATTTTTTAAGTAGCTGCAGCGCCTGTCACGGAGTATGTATTTTTTATTTACTTAGCCTACCGGTAGCTCTCTAGAGTTTTCTGTGTCGCGAGAGGTCCAAAAGGCACCGACTGTTATTAGCATCACTCGTGCCGATAGATTGTTATCTAACGTTCAGATTTGTCAGATGATGTGGTGAAATTCTTTTTCATTAAAGATTTGTGCTACTACAGCGGTCGATGGGGCTTTTCCACACTAGCGGCGCACCTCCACTGCGCGCATACCGACGTCACGGCATGACAGGTGGGCACCACACATGGGCCCACAGCCCATTCACATGCGCGGCGAAAAGAAGAAATGGGTGGCACTTCCAAGTTCCATCCATTGTCGTCGTTGCCGAGCCAGGCAAAGGGCATACACTGTCAGTGGGCCCCCAAAACGGAACACCCCAGTACTCCACGTCATCGCCGCACGCGCCACTCCACGCGTTCCCACGCTGCAACTCCGGGCCCACCTGTCATTATCACGTCACGCCACCCAGCATTGAGTTCCCACCAACCTCTCCATCCCCAAAACCAAACCCGCGCAGCATCCACAAACACCAAAACCCCTCGCCGCCGGCGGCGCTCCGAATCCGCCGGCGATGTCGCCGTCGCCGCCTCGCCGGCCGCAGCGCCGCTCGGCGTCGACGCGCCCGGCGTCGTACGACGAGTCCCTCCTCGACGCCGAGCTGCAGGCGTTACTCGGCGACGCCGCCTCGCGCCGCGTGCGGCGGCTGCGCCGTCTGTCGGCGGAGGAGCGGCAGCGGGAGACGGAGACGGAGGCGCTCATCGCGCTGTCCCTGGGGTTCCCCATCGACGAGCTGCTCCAGGAGGAGCGGCCGCTCCTCCCGGCCCACATCGCCGACGCGCCCAACGACTACATCGTCGTCCGCAACCACATCCTCGCGTCCTGGCGCGCCGACCCGGGCGCGCCGCTGCCGCTCGCGCGCGTCCTCGAGACCGTCGCCGCCTCCTACGACCGCCTCGTCGCCGCCGCACACGGGTACCTCGCCCGCGAGGGCCACATCAACTTCGGCGTCTCCGCCGCCTTCCCCGCCGCGCCGCCCCCGGACGCCGCCACCCAGGGCGCCGCGGCCGTCCTCGTCGTCGGCGCGGGGCTCGCCGGTCTCGCCGCCGCGCGCCAGCTCCTCCGCTTCGGTCTCCGGGTGCTCGTCCTCGAGGGCCGCGCGCGCCCCGGCGGCCGCGTCTACACGGCCCGGCTAGGTGAGGACAACGCCGCTGTCGAGCTCGGCGGCAGCGTTATCACCGGTATCCACGCCAACCCGCTCGGCGTGCTCGCGCGGCAGCTTGGTCTTCCGCTGCATAAGGTGAGGGACCTCTGCCCGCTCTACTATCCCGATGGCCGGACCGTGGAGACTAGGCTGGATAGGAGTATCGATCTGGTGTTCAACACGCTTCTCGATCACGCCACCAGACTCCGGGAGTGTCTTAATGAGGCTGCAGAGAGAATCTCGCTGGGAGAAGCTATAGAAAAGCTCAGGAGGCTCTACCATGTGGCCAGGACCGATGACGAGAGGATGGTTTTGGATTGGCATTTTGCAAATCTGGAATTCTCCAATGCCGGTTGCCTATCGGAGCTTTCACTCGCCCACTGGGACCAGGACGATCCTTATGAGATGGGAGGAGACCATTGTTTCTTAGCTGGAGGGAATTATCGCCTCATACATGCATTGTCTGATGGGGTGCCGGTACTCTATGAGAAGAAGGTGTCGCGGATTGAACATGGAGGGGATGGGGTTAGTGTCACAGTGGAAGAAGGTCAGATTTTCCAGGCTGATATGGTGCTCTGCACCGTGCCCCTTGGGGTGCTCAAGAGTGGGAGTGTCGTATTTGACCCAGAGTTGCCTGAGGAGAAGCTTGGGGCAATAAAGAGGCTGGGGTTTGGGTTGTTGAACAAGGTAGCCATGGTGTTTCCCCATGTGTTTTGGGATGAGGATATTGACACATTTGGGTGTTTGAATAAGGAGAGCAGCAAGCGTGGGGAGTTCTTTCTCTTCTACAACTACCACACTGTCTCTGGTGGAGCGGTTCTTATTGCACTTGTGGCAGGAGAGGCTGCTTTGGAGTTTGAAAAGGTTGATCCTGTTGTTTCACTTCATCGAGTACTTGGCATTCTAAAAGGTAAAATCTAGAACCAATAGTCATGTGTATTTTGGTTAGTTTAATCGCATTTTAAAATTTAATAGGGACTCCAAGAATTACAAAAATGGAAACAAATTGCTTTCCAATACACTAACTAAATGCTATCTGCCTGCTTTGCTTGGTGCATTACTAGTAAAAGTGCATTGGGATTTATAAGACAACTGCATACTTGTATTAGTGTGGATAACTTAATGATTAATATTAAGTGGAAGTGACTAAACAATGTATCTTATAATGTCATATGCTCACTGTATGGCTGAACAGAGTATGTCATAAGTATGTCATATGCTCACTGGATGGCTGAACAGAGTATACTTGTCTCTCACTCCATAATTAATTGAAGCACCATTTGCTGGTTTATGGTTAGGTTTAAATGATGCTACACCATATGTATTTAGAATTACGGAATTGTTCACACCATAAACTATACACTACACACTCCATAGTTATTATTGTGGCACTTCAGCTGATTTAAGTTGAGATTCCTTATGAATGAATTAGTTTTTGTGTTTACTTAACGCGGGTCTCCATGAACCAATTTGGTTTTATGCCCGGAAGGTCAAACATGGAAGCCATTTTTCTTAATAAGACAAGTTATGGAGCGGTATAGGGAGAAGAAGAAGGACCTACACATGGTTTTTATTGACTTGGAGAAGGCTTATGATAAAATACCAAGGAATGTTATGTGGTGGGCTTTGGACAAACATAAAGTCCCAACGAAGTACGTCGGGCTCATTAAGGACATGTATAACAATGTTGTGACTAGTGTTCGAACAAGTGATGGAGACACGGATGACTTCTTGATTAGGATAGGACTACATCAAGGGTTAGCTTTGAGTCCTTATCTGTTTGCCTTAGTGATGGATGAGGTCACAAGGGACATACAAGGGGACATCCCTTGGTGTATGTTTTTCGTGGACGATGTAGTGCTAGTTAATGAAAGCCGGACATGAGTGAATTAGAAACTGGAGTTATGGCGGGACACTTTGGAGTCTAAAGGTTTTAGACTCCGTAGAACTAAAACTGAGTATATGAGATGTGACTTCGGCACTATTATTCGGGAGGAGGAAGATATTAGTTTGGAAGATCAAGTAGTGCCTAGGAAGGATACCTTTCGATATTTAAGATCAATGCTACAGAGAGACGGGGATATTGATGAAGATGTTAGCCATAAAATCAAAGCAGGGTGGATGAAGTGGCGCCAAGCATCTGATGTCCTATGTAACAAAAGTGTACCACAGAAGCTAAAAGACAAGTTTTATAGGACGATGATTAGACTTGCTATGTTGTATGGTGCAAAATGTTGGTCTACGAAAAGATGACATGTTCAACAGATAAGTATCGCGGAAATGCGTATGTTGTGTTGGATTTGCGGTCATACAAGAAGGGATCGAGTTCGGAACGATGATATACGTGATAGATTAGGGGTAGCACCAATTGAAGAAAAGCTTGTCCAACACCGGTTGAGATGGCTTAGACATGTCCAATGGAGACCTCCAGAGGCACCAGTGTGTAGTGGAATCCTAAGCGGATAGTAATGTGAAGAGAGGCAGAGGAAGACCGAAGTTGACTTGGGTAGAGGCAATAAAAGGAGACTTCAAAGGATGGAATATATCTAAAGACTTAGCCTTAGATAGGAGTGCTTGAAAAACAGCTATTCACGTGTCTGAACCTTGATTGCTTCTGCTGGGTTTCAACTCTAGCCTACCCCAACTTGTTTGGGACTTAAATGCTTTGTTGTTGTTGTTGTTGTTTACTGAACCATTTATCCCTATTAATTTGGCATATTTTAACATTTCCTAAACAGGCCCTAATGGATAATGATCATAATGCCAGTTTAGATGAATGAACTAGCATTTGATGCATTTGTATTACGCTGTAAACTTCTGCTTATGACTACGCATATACAACAGAGCTATTAGTACAAAGAAAAATAGGCTCAGCGGAGTTTTGAGTTTGGACTATGGGATTGGCAGAGCAAACTCATCAATGATCTGCTGAGCATGTGCATGTATTTTTTGGGTCAACCACTCTTTATGATTTGGAAGCAACAAGACTAGCTTAAAGTATTAGTAACGTACAAACTAATCTACATACCTCCCTTAACAAACTTGTGAAATACCACTAGTATTAAGGTCCGTGTTATGCATATGAATTGTTATTTACCCTTTTAGTTATGTACTTGTATAATATAAAATGTGTATTACAAATGACTGCTTTGATAAAATGCTAGAGAGAAAAAGGGAGATAAATTATTCTATAAGTGCCGTTCAGGACTTCATTGCATAGCTACCTTTATAGATGAGACACATGGGGAGGTCGAACATAGATAATTCTTTTGGAGTGTGAGTATAAACTTGAGCAGAGAAAAGTGTGAAAACGTATGGAAGATAGCATTATTGTATATTACTTTGAATAATGTTTGATGGATGATTCGATTATAAAGATCACAAAAGGAATGTATCAACAAGATGATTGCATTGTACATCTCGTTTGTAAGTCCAAGAACATTAAGTTCAAGAATAAGCACATATGTATTATTTATGATATTTTCTTCCACTAATCATTATGGTAAACAATGAACTAACATATTACTCCTGTTATGTTTAGGTATCTATGGCCCAAAAGGTGTTACTGTTCCTGATCCCGTGCAATCAGTTTGCACGAGATGGGGTAGTGATCCTTTTTGCTCAGGTTCATACTCACATATCAGAGTTGGGTCTTCTGGTGCTGACTACGACATTCTTGCTGAGAGTGTGAATGACCGACTCTTCTTCGCTGGAGAAGCTACGAATCGTGCATACCCTGCAACCATGCATGGGGCCTTATTGAGCGGGTTAAGAGAAGCTTCCAAAATTCGCCGTGCCTCAGAGAGGTTAGCGAATTCTGACCAGAAGAAGAATTCATTGCCTAAAAGCCTCAAGCCACCCAGTGGTGCCCTTTTAGATCTGTTCTTGGAGCCAGACCTAGCATTCGGGAGATTCTCATTCATGTTCTCCTCACTGACACCCGATGATCCAGAGGCTCCAGGGTTACTTCGGATTTCACTCGACAAGCGTCTGCTTCTGCAGCCCAATAATCCGGAGTTAAATGGGGATCAAAAGGATTACGGCCCTGCATCCGGGGCCTTCCATTTGTATGCCACTGTCTCTCGAGAGCAGGCAGATCGGCTACAGAAGTCAAGCGAAGATGATAAAACTAGGTTACGAGTGTTATGCAAGGATCTTAGTGTAAAGCTAATGGGTTATGATAATACATGTGATGTAGGTAGCGATCTGATTTCGAGCATCTTGAGTGCACGGAAAGCCAGGAAACTGCTGCAGCACCCAAAGAGCTCCAAGATCCCGCGTTGATGTGTACCAGTTCCTGTTTTCTTTTGTAGACAGTTCCTGTTTTCTTTTGTAGACAGTTCCTGTTTTCTTTTGTAGAACAGAATGCGTTCTTTTGTTATGTCCAAAGGACCGGCTGATGGAGCTCAGACTTTGCTATGACGTGTACAGGCTACAAACTGTGACGCTTTGGCAGGAACTGAGATCCTCTATGTTCTGTTCTTTTCTTGTAAAAATTGCCGGTCATGTGACTTCAGACTTTAGTTGATTATTAGATACTGTTATGTGGATTAACTGCAGGTACCAATAGTTGGAAATTGGAATATGAATCAGACTGTAGACTTAGGCCCTATTTGGATCCACTACACTATTAGTTAGCTATATATATCAGTTAGCTAATTATTAACAGTTGCGTTTGATCCACCTACTAATATACTAATAGGTGGTTAGTCGTCAATTAGCACCTATTAGCAGTCCCAAATTTGCTAATGGAACTAATAGTTAGTTGATCTATTAGAAGATTTGTTTGGATCTACTAGTACTAATTTTAGATGCTAACTTTTTTTTTTTACAACAAGCTGCTAACTGTTAGCATCAGTGGATCCGAATATGCCCTTACTCATCCTGCAGTTTCCTACTTCCATTTGAGCGCACCTCTACATTTGCAATAAGAGGATTTGATATCCAGGGTACAGTTATTACCAACTCTTAAGTATATTATTCGCCAAAATCTTATTGGAGTCCAGTTTTGTAATTGAAAGGAACCAAACAAAAATACTTGAGTTTTTGTTTTATTTCTAGTACTCACGAGAGCGTCTATACAACACATAAGTAGCTGCTATGAATGAGATGCTTTAGAACTTTTACTCCATTAATTATACAACCATTAAAAACAAAAAGTTTAACTTAAAAAGGTCACATAACTCGTGCGTAAACTAGTCGTGATTCCAGCATAAATTACAAAACACTTGAAATTTCTTTTGGCACAAATCTAAAGCACTGCTCCCTCCAACATAGCATATACTTCTTTCATTTCAAATTATAAATTGCTTTGACTTACATAGAGCTTGCCATGTATCTAGACATATGTTATATCTATGCATAAAAAAAAAATCAATGCGACTTATAATTTGGAAGGGGTAGGAGATTTTTTAGTTGTCCTAAGTAAATCATCCTCAGATGTCGAAGTACTCTAAAACACTAAGTGGGGCTTAGTTTCCCCCAAAATTTTAATGAATTAGTCTATAACAAGAAAACTGGGATTTGATTACTCTCAGGGTATACACCCTCTAGAACGGGCTTTGCTGGAATAACTGCTTCTTGAAACAAGGACAATACACTGGAATGGATTTTTGGGAACTTTATAAAGCATGGAACGATTCACGAAATCCCAGATTTCTCGTCTAGAGCATATTTAGTTCCTCACTAGAAACAAAACAACAGTGTCGGTTACATATGTGGGAATGATTCTTCCGAACATATTGGTTGAGCTCAGCCAGTTTCTTATTGGATTGATGGATAAAAAACTTGGTCCACTAGGAAAGTGTTCAAATAATCAATGCAAGAAGTAATGATATATTAATCACCCCGTTCGGCTTATTGAAACTTGGTTGAAATTGGCTGAGAAAAACATTGTTCCGGCTAAAAAAATAAGTCGAACAAGCCGGTTTCTGGGTAACCCGAATGGGGCCATTGACTAAATGTGCGAGATACTTTTATAAATAATCTACGAGTTGGTGAGGGAGGTATGATTGTGAATCCTAATCATTTAGATTGAGTCATCATGAACTCAAATCTGGATATTTTTTCTTCTTTATTATAATATAGAAAACGATCTAGTTTCTCTTGCAACACGGTTTATAGTGGAAGCAGCTCCCACAGGCAGGACAGCTATAAATGATTGTCGTTTTTGTTTCCTAAGAAACAACTTTGACTATATATATATTAATATTTACAGTATAAAATTAATATAATTAGATAGATCATTGAATTTATTTTCATAATAAATTTATTTGAAGATATAAATATTACACGTATTTTCTAGAGATCCAGTCAAACTTACGACATGGAATCCAAAAGGAATATTTATTTAGAGGTGGAGGGAATATGTCCGGGAACAAGTCAACCGTGGCTATGCTCCAACTGGGTCAAAAGTCAGGTGGTTTACGTTAGCAAGTGATGAACCACGGTTCATTAATAGATACTCTCTGGTCCCAAAATAGATGATGTTATGTTATTCGTGCCGGTCAAACTTTCTCAACTTTGACAATATTTGTAGAAAATATTATCAATATTTATATCCCCACATAAGTTTATTATGAAAATAGATTTCATGATCTATCTAATTATGTGATATAAATATTAATAAATTTATATATATTTAGTTAAAGTTAAAAATATTTGATTTCTGGGGAAACGAGAACTACTACTGTTTTGGGAGAGAGAGTAGCCTGCTTCCGGCATGGACTTGCTGCTCACTGCATGGTCAGCCAGCCAGCATGCTGCTGCTAATTCTGGATGGCCGGCAGCAAGTACTGTACCGAATAATGGTTGCTTATTCCTGCGTCGACAAGCAAACAGCCCATAACTCCATAAGGCTGAGTGTATAGGCCCGTTGTTCAGAAGTGCTAGAGCCAAAGAGCCGAGGCCAACGACCATGTAATTAATCTATGTTTAATACTCTAAATTGGTGACTAAACATCCACAATGTGACAAGGATTGAAGTTTAATCCGCGGAACTAAACATCCCTACATAATCTTTTCCTCTTGCTGCCCTTGACGCTCTTCCTTAATGCTGCCCTCAATAAGAAAGCCCTTCCTTAATGCTTGCCCAGCAGCAGGAGGTTTTCGTGACCGACTGTTTCACCGCGCACCACCTCCTCTAGTAATCCGTTCCAAATTTTCACGTGCAAAATAATTAGATGGACTTTTTATTATAAAAAATATAACGTTTTTAATTTTAAACTTCACGTTATTTATTATGACCATATATATATTTCTCCTTGCTAGTATTATGACCTTATTTATGTTGTTTATTAGGCTCAACAGTTGAATAACCACAAAAAAAACGCAACAGAGCATCGGGCTAGTTGAGAACAGCCACAACCGGTTTCATATTCACATCTAACCCGTATAACCATAGAAAGTTAAATCTGTCCTCGATGGCATGGGTAGCTGTTGAGTGTACATGAGGATGGATGGAGCATAATATTATTTTATAGTACACCTATCCTTAGGCCTTCCACAGTGTTGAGCTAAAGTAACGTCTGAAACTGAAAAAGAGAGTTAGGGCATCACTCGAACCACTACAGATACCGATGCCTGTACTAAGAAAACCGGAAGTGATGCATCTACTTGCGCTGGTGCTATCTTGTTTATTTTTTTTTCTGCATAGCATGTTCCAACTACCACTCAGCAAGGACGAGAGAAACATGCAACAACTCTACTGTTTTAACATATATCAGGTGGGCCTCTAGCGATGCCACACTGCCCACACGTTGCGGCATTTGATGAGTCAAGCTAAAAACTTCTCTATGGGATCCAAATATTTTTAGGCATCACTCCACATCGTGGAGGGCCTTATACACATCTAACAACTGTAGTGATAGGAGAACCTGGGGAAAATATATGCTCCTCTGAGGGAAAAAATGCGTCTGCCATCAGAGATAAAGTTGTCCAATATCCATGCATCGGGCTAGTTGGAAACATTCACAACAACGGGACAAGAAATTAATCTGGCCGTTGGTTTATGATCTGATGGAGCAAAATTCGTGCGTCTGCAAAGCTCAGAACTTGTTCGTGCAACAAACAGTTCTCAGAGCATCTCCAAGAGAGGCTAATAATACCCTCAAAACTGAAATTTGCGTGTTTAGGAAAAAAAACCACTGCTCCAACAACTCCCCAAACCTTCCCCAAGATTTGCTCACTCTGGAAAATTCAGCCCGCGCCCCTCATATGTGCAAATCGACGGCGCGCCTCCAATCTTCTCCCGTGCTTCTCTTCCCGTGCTCGTGCCCCATTCTGGTAGAGAATTCCCGCGCTCCTCCTCCCGTCCATGCCATTCTGCTAGCAGTTTTCACGCCCTCCGTCCTAACATCGGCATAGAGAGGTGCTACGCGTCCTGCAATTTGGTCGCGAGCACCTTCTGATGCGGCAGCCACGACCTGCTGCCGCCACCCCAGGGCATGTTGTGCGCGGTGGCGTACAAAAGCGGGTTGTGGCCCCATCGGCCGGTGGTCGCAACCCCCAGGCCGGAGGCGGTCGATTTCTGCCGGGATTTGGTTGCAACAACATCGATCCGACTGATGGCACCCACAACTGGAGTGAACAACAACGTCGAGGTCCAGCCCGTGATGGCTATTGCGGCGCATCCCATCAGGGCAGCTACGGTCTTCCTCGGTCTGCGACATATGTCGGCGATGCTTCAGATCCCCAGGCTCCAATGGTGTTTTCCTTCCCCGACGACACCTCTGAGGCCTTGGAAGATGTGGATGATGTTGACATGTTTTGCAGTGGTAAGAATCTAATCCATTATGATTGAAATAACGGATGGCACCATATTTTTGTTCAACTACATGCATTTTCGATGTGGTTTCTGAAAATATCTCAAATGTGGTTTACTTGATGCCAACATAATCTGCACACGTGGCTTCAGAAAGATCTTCTAATTGCTCCAAGTGTTACCGAGGATCATGTCTTTGTTATATGTACAACATGTGTTTTAGGAATTTTATCTTTGCAATGGGTGATATTCTGATAAGTCTAATATGTCTTCTGCAAGTGTTTCTGCAGAAAACCCTGAACTTTTCAGTAAATGAATGTGTGTTTAGGTATCAGCATATCAGTGGCACTATAGTTTACATAGTATCTGATAGTACAATTCAGTTACCTGTGATCATGATTTAACTTATTTTCTTGCAAGTTGCCTCTTCTGTTGTGATAATGTTTGGGTTTCTATTATTTTTGAAGCTGGCTTGTCAATTGTTGTCTATCATATACCTAATATCAGTCCATCATTATTTGCTTTGTCCATCCTGGCTAAGAGGGCAATGGCAAGTGTCCCTATAGTACAATTGGATTTGTGCTAAAGGAAGATTTTTTCTGAAAGCATGAGTGCACTCCAGTTGAAGAAATGCCAACGCTTAGTACCTTGAAAAAATTCTAAGTTTCTACTCATTTTGGAGGGAAGTAGTTCAATGTTTTGGTTTCATTATGGGGTAGGCATTTTGATATACTAGCCTGATGATTATGTTGTTTGCATTAAGAATGGAGATCTGAATGCAGTTACTCTGGTGCTGCTGCTCGTACTACTACTGCTTTCTCTAGTGCTGCTGATGGTCCTACTACTGCCTTCTCAGCCACCGTCATCATTGTCTGTCCCTGTCCCTGTTTGTCTCCCTCTGTGGCTGCTTACTTGATGCTTGCCTCGTGTAGATGTGTGTGTGTGTGTGTGATATTCTGTAAACCAAGTTGGCTTAAGTGTAGATGTAAAAGTAATATCTCTAATTCTCTATATAAGGTTGGTGTTTTTAATTTTTTTAATAGGATCTATGGCGGCAAACGGTAATTATTATACCAGCATGATGAGTGAAGGCACTCATCCAGTGGATTTTGAAGACTTTAGCAACCCTTGTAATGAGCAACAATCATAGGAAGTGCTAGTGACTCCATCAGCCTCCTCTGCAAGACCAAATCATAAGAGATTAAAGAATTTCAGTGAGAAGGAAGATGAGATTTTGGTTTTTGCGTGGCTGAATGTGAGCTTGGATCCAATCACAGGAGCAAATCAAACACATAAATCGTATTGGACTAGAATTTATGATCACTTCCATGAAAACTTGCCCTTCCCCTCAGACCGTATGCAAAATTCTCTTATGCACCGTTGGTCTACTATACAAGACAGTGTGAATAAGTTTACAGGATGTCTCTCCAGGATTGCGGGTAGACTACAAAGTGGCGCTACAATGCAAGATAAGGTTCTAACCAGCTATGTATAAGCATATGTTTATTCTCTCTCATGCATAAATTATAATTTAATGACTTTCCAATACATGGGTGTTGTGTGTGTGCAGATTGAGGACGCAAAGGCTATGTACAAGTCTGAAGACAGGCAAAAGAGATCATTTCGGTTTATGGATTGGTGGAAACAATTGAGAGGACAAGCAAAATGGATGGCTAAACTAGACGAATTGGTTGGGAAGTCATCTAATAAGAAGCAAAAGGAAACCTCCAATTCGAGTCTGCCTACACCTTCGCTCACTACCGCAGATGGACATGAAGTTTCTGCTTCAGAGGAGAATACATTGTCAAGACTAATGGGCCACAAGAAGGCCAAAGCAGCACTACATCAAGGTGGCAAAAAAGGTTGTACAGAAGCTTTAGAGAATTTGTGGGTGAAGAAGAAAGAATTTGATAGTGACAAGGAGCTAAAGAAAGATGAAAGGTTCAAACAAGCTTTTGCACTTGAACAAGAGCAGGTTGCGAATGAGAAATTAAATCTTGAGTTGAGGAAGAAAGAGTTAGAATTGAGGGCGTAGGAGGTAGAGTTGAAGAACAAGAAGGACGAAGAGAGGATTATGACAATGGACCTTAGTGCCATGCCTGATGATCAGCAACAGTACTACATGTCCTGTCGGTCTAAGATCATGAGCCGTCGCTGCAGTAGCTAAAGATTTTAATTTCAGTTACTTTTCATGTTTGAACCAAACCTTGCATTGTACACATACATGTGTAAGTGTCAGTACTATGTGATTTCTATCAGCATACATGTGTAAGTGTCAGTACTATGTGCTTTCTATCAGCATACATGTGTAAGTTTAGAACTATGTGCACAAAAATATATGATCCAAATATGATTCAGGCTTCTGTGAATCTTAAATATTCCTAATAATATATATGAAACAAATATGATAACAATAGATGAAGGAAAATATGACAAAGCGTAATTACAAAAATTATGTCCATAATAATTTTGTAATTAAAATCATTCTACAAAACAGTAAACTAAAACCATATATAGAAAAACAATTATATTTGTTTATATAGGTTTGGATGATTTTGCCAAAGGTGCTCAACTAGATCATCTTTAAGCTGCATATGAATTTGTTGATCCTTAATATTCTTGTAGTTCTGAATAAACTCCTCAAGTTTAGGTGTAGAGTCATGAGAAATTTTCACATTTTCTCCCACCACTTCATAATTGAAATCATCTTCTTCATCTCGCTCATCCTCAATTATCATGTTGTGCATAATAACACAAGCCCTCATGATTAGGCTAAGCGTATCATCATCCAAAAATGTGCTAGCCCTCGAACGATAGCAAAACGAGCTTGTAGAACTCCAAAGGCTCATTCAACATCCTTCCTACAAGATTCCTGGGCTAGGGCAAAATATTTCTTCTTATTACCTTGTGGCTCAGGTATGGTCTTTACGAATGTGGCCCATGAAGGATATATGCCATATGCAAGATAATAACCCATTGTATAATCATGGCCATTAATGGTATAGTTGACCTCTGGAGCTTGACATTCAGCTAGCCTTGCAAATAGAGTTGACCGTTGCAAAACGTTGATGTCATTGTGTGAACCTGACATCCCAAAGAAAACATGCCAAATCCATAGATCTTTTGAAGCAACAACTTCTAATATAATTGGAGGCTCATGCACATGCCCTTTGTACATACCTTGCCATTCATAAGGACAGTTTTCCACCCCAGGTGCATACAATCTATGGATCCAAGCATACCAGGAAAACCTCTTCTTTCTCCAATTGCAAGTAATCTAGCGATATCATCTTCATTAGGCGATCTCAAGTACTCGTCTCCAAAAACTTCAACAACAACGGCGACTTTTGAGACTTTCAATTGCAATACTCTCACCAATACAGACATAATCATCCATAGCATCAGCTGCTACTCCATAAGCTAACATCCGAAATGCTGTTGTAATCTTCTGCAAGCTAGACAGACCAAGTATACCAGCAGTATTCCTTTTTTGCACAAAATATTCATCGTGTTGTTCTACAGCTTGCAGTATGTGCAGAAACAACGTACGACCCATTCGAAACCTGTACTATAAAATAATTAGACACACATATATAAGCATCTTTTCTACAAAATGTGTTTCATGGCATACCTTCGTCTGAAATAATTTGGTGCGTACGTTGGATCATCGGCGAAATAATCTTGGTATAGCCTCTGATGTCCTGCCCATCTATCGCACTGAAGCACTTGATGCCCATGAATAGAACCGCAATGTTTTGGTTCTTCGTCAGACTCATCCTCATCAACTACCGCATGTACGACATCAAAAAAGAATCATCATCATCACCTGACGACGATGAATCATCTAACACCTGGTTCATGAGAAAGCTATGTTGATCCATGGCAGATCCTTTTTTCTTATCTCGAACTGGAATTAGACAATATTACAGAAGATCTTTGTGGTGTCGTAACAAGTCGACAAGAGGAGGAGCGCTAGCAAAGAACAGGCAAGGACACAGGCGATGGCGATGAGCACAAGCCTGATGGCGGCGCTAGCATATCTGGAGATCAGCCTGCCCTCGTACGTGTATTGCAAGGTTGGAGACCTGGAGTCACCATACTAGGAAGGATGAGCGGACAGAAAAGGTCAAACTCCAGAAGCTACGGAGGAAGGAACAGCTAGTCGACGGAACAAGTCAAGCACGGAAAAGTCAGAATCCAACTAATTCTGTTTCTAGCCCCGTCCTCATCCAACTAATTGACGATGTGGTAAGTTCAAAATATTTTTGGGTGCAAAATATTAGGGAGCTGTGCTGTGGAGGAAACTAGTTTTTGAAAAACAATTATTTAAAAGAGCCCCCAATAGACAGCTTTGGGAGTTATATTTTTGGGAACTCTTGGAGTTGCTTTTAGCCTAGTCACGACCAAGCCGCCAAAATACAGGAATGCCACGTAGACAAACTTCTTTATACTATCATTATTTATAATGCGACGACTCTTACGAGCATTACACACAAGTGCTAGAGCTGATACAAACAACCATGCAAGACGCCCTAATCTTCCTCCTCTTGCTCCCCTTGACGCTCTCCATCCTCATCGTCAGCCGGCACCGGCATGCGTTGGTGCGCGAGGCAGCCTACACGCGGCTCGCCTTAGTCAAGTCGGCGGTCCTCAGGAAGCTCCCCACACTCGGCCGGCACCCGGAGGTCTTCGTCACCGACCGCTTCACCGCGCACCGCCTCCTCGTCAGCGGCACGGCTGCCGGAGGCGTGTTCTCGGACCGCCCGCCTTCCATCGTGCCCAGCGCCGTGCTCTCGCGCCGCCGGCACTACAACATCAACTCGGCGCCGTACGGCCGGCTATGGCGCGCGATCAGACGCAACTTCACCTCCGAAATCTTCCACCCGTCGCGCCTCCGGCAGTACAGCCCCGCGCGCCGCCACGCCCTCCGCGGTCTCATCGCGGACCTCGACCGCCAGTGCGCGTCCGGCGGCGTGGTGCTCGAGGCGGAGAGCCTACGCGCGGCCATGTTCGGCCTGTTGGCCACCATGTGCTTCGGTGCGGGCGTCAACGCGGGCCTCGTGCGGGCAATGGCCGACGCCCAGGACGACCTCGTCCAGTGCTTCCTCGGACTGTGCGTCTTCGCCACGCTCCCCGCGGTCACCGGACTCATCTACCGGGACAGGTGGAGGATGTTGGCGCCGGCTGCCGGAATGGCGACGCCGACGGCGATCTCTCAACGCTCGATGTCCGTGCTCTAGCGCACGACGTCGCCTGTGTTCTCTCTCTCTCTCGCCTCCCTGTGATTGTAACTGAATACGAAAGAAACGGCGCTGCCAAAACGTTGCAGCTTTTCTCGGTCTCTTTGTTTCTATTTATTCACGGTGATTACACGGTCCATGACCGACGATTCCCCCGCCATGCGCGCCTCACTCTGCGACGTGCCCGCCTTGAGCGCGGGAGCGTTTCTTACGGCATGGCGGTGACCACTTCGTAGCCGCACCATGAACGCAGCATGGTTCTGGCCCTCTCCACCGCTCATCTAACATGCAACTAGCTACTCTTTAGGAACTGTAAAACGTGCAACTAATGCAACTGTCTAATTACAGAATCATGCTAAATAAGTGTACGAGATTATGTCAACAGAGGAAGCTGCTCCAGCTCCGGCAGCAGCAGGAGGAGACGTACCTTCCACTCATAGACGCCCGCCGCCGCGACGGCCGGCCCAACAACCGCCATGGCGAGCCCCCGGCGTACGTGGACACGCTCGTGGACCTCCGCGTGCCGGACGAGCACGCTGCCGCCGCCTCAGGCAGCGGCAGCGGCAACGCAGGCTCACTGATGGTGAGCTCGTGGGTCTCTGCTCCGAGTTTCTTGGCGCCGGCACGGAGCCCGCTGCGCTGCAGTGGATCATGGCGAACCTGGTGAAGCGTCCCGACGTGCAGCGCGCGCTCCGGAAGGAGATCGACGCCGCCGTGGGTGCCGATGCCGAGGAGGTCGGCGAGGAGGTACTTGGAAGGCTGGAGTACCTCAACGCCGGGAAGGGCTCCGGCTGCACCCCACGGTGCCCATGGTGCTTAGGAAGGTGAGAATACTATTAATCAATCAAAAGTTTCTAAATAATCAAATGTCATTGGTTTTAATCATCACGCATGCAAGCTTATAAGCTTTTTTTTAATATATATCTTATAATAACAAGGTGATGGCCGAGGACCATGTCGTGGTGGACGGCCGGCGTCTCCCTGCCGGCACGGCGGTGCATTTTCCGCTGGCGCGGCTGGCACGTGACAAGACGGCATGGACCGACCCGCGTGAGTTCCGGCCGGAGAGGTTCCTGGCTGGCGGCGAGGGCGAGGGCGTCAGCCTGGTGGCGGCGGCGGGCAGCGCTGGGGAGAGCAGGATGATGCCGTTTGGTGCCGGCAGGAGGATGTGTCCCGGCATGGGCGTCGCCGTGCTCCATCTTGGCTACTTCGTGGCCAATCTTGTGAGGGAGTTCGAGTGGGCAGAGGCCGAGGGCGAGCTCGCTGTTGACCTGCGGCCACACCTTGGGTTTTTCACAGTCATGAAGCGGCCTCTGCGTGCGCGCCTCACAAGGCTGAGAGACGTCAGCTGGATACACCGGTAATGCCTTGTTTGGATGTTGCCAGATTCATTTCAATCCACATATGTTGGGGTGGATTGGGTGGAATTTAGTTCAAGTTCTACTCAAATCCACCTCAACCCATGTGGACCGATGTGAATCCAACTACATCCAAACAAACCCTAAAGGAGGGAATTCTATTCAACCGGCAAATAGTTATACTCTGGTTTATATTTAGAAGTTGTCTACGACCTCACAATTGAATATTTTAAACTGGTTTCGACTTTTGACTTTCACTCTTTATTTCCAGTCCTTGGATGCTGATGGAATGGTCAATCTCTACCCCCTTCTACCTCTGGTCTCCTCCACCTATGATAATCCATGGTGTCTCCTGCGAAACACCCCCACCCTGTCTGCCTACCACGTCTCTGATAGCTCCTCACCTCACCGGATCCACCTCCACCCACCCCCAAGCT